AAAGGTCATTTACTCCAATAACCTATTCAATGAAACTATTTTTCCTACAACATTCTTGATATCCTATCTGTTTAAATAGTTCTGATAGAAACCTTTAAACCTATAAAAAAATCCAATTTTGGGTTGCTATATTGCTCTAAAATTTCCTTCTATATGAGCTCAAACTACTTTCTTTTACCATTTATAATTTTCCCAGTTCTAACCTCTGGAGCAATAAAGAGTAAATGATTCTTGCTCTCACATGCCAGTTCTTAAAGCCTCTGCAGAGACTTGGGGGCCACCTCCAGATACTCTCAATAGATCAGCAGGAATTTTTAAGAAGGTGATACTGATACAAAGAGTTGGCAGATCACATTTTGAGAAATAACATTTTATGGTTTTATGAATATTTTATGAATATTAATCAACCTATGGGACTTTTACACAGGACCCTTCCACAAGAAGTATTTCCTGAGATGAATCTCAGATTTTTCACACGAGAGACCATATTGTCCACAGTTGTTAAATTAGATGTAGATACAGTTACAGATATAGATAACATTTTGATGAGCTTTTAAAATTGATTATTATATTTATTTTTCAGTTGACAGGTACTTTTTTGGTTCCTTTAAGTAAAAAAAAAAATTTTCATTATATCATTGATCTTACATTTCCTAATTTTGAATGGAATGTGGTAGTTATAAGGACAGTAAAAGCCCTGTTAGAAGAGGCTAGATGCCTTTTTTCCTCCTCTGTAAATTTCTACAAAGACTTTTGCTCTTCTCTAAGAAGGCAGGCTTCCTGGTATTTGATGAAGTGAAGCCCAGTGATCCAGAACATAAGTGAGCTGGATTCATACCATGACTCAACCATTTGCTATCTGAGTGATAGTGGGCTAGTAGTTACTTAATCTCAGGAAGAGTATGTGTCCCTTTCTCTATGACATGGGAATAATAATAGTCCCTACTTCATAGGGACCTCATCAACATTAATTAAGGAAAGGTATGTAATGCATTTAGCATTGTGTGTTTATCTAATAAGCATTTAATGTTAGCTATTTTCATTATTAGTTGGCAAGAAAATATTGTCACTCTGTGGTATTCTATATCAAAAATGACTTACCTGGGCAACATGTCTTATTTAAAATTTGGTGCCTTTGATTAAACACTGAATACTTGAGATAGTCTCCAATTTTATATAGTACTATCATTTGTTTGCTCTGCACAGTAGTACTTCCTAAGAGTCCACTGTCTTTTCAATAGTGGTGTCATACACTTAATTCATCATGGGCTTATTTTCCATACAAATCTCTTTAAATCCTGTGCATTCTCAAGAACAGTATCTTTCATCCTTCACACCTTGAAAAACTACCTATCTTGGCTCAGAGACAACAATACAGCAAATAATGCCATAGGTAATCCAGCTGCAGGGCAGGGAATACTGCTACACAAAGTGTTAGACTTAAAACAGTTTGATTTCTTATGATCTTAGTTTTGTTAGATTCTGGGCAAATTGTCAGGAAATTCTTGTTACTTTAACATGTCATGGCGTATATTTTTGAAAAAAAAAACCCCATAAAATTTATAACTGTATGCTAAAAAGGTGAATTTTATCCTATGTAAATTATATCTCAATAAAACTGAGTTAGAAAAATTCACAGGAAAGCATCCTCATAGATAGTGTTAATCACTTACCTAATCACATCTATCACCTTCTAACTTACCTAGAAAATATTAGGTTGGATGGTATAAGAGATCAAAGATGATGCAAATGAATGAAATGATTGGCTGATGGCAAAATACATACTAATATTAATTAGTATGTAACTAATACATACTAATAATAAATTCAGGCCTAAAGGTCAGGTGATGGCCAAGCCCTATGATAGCACCAGATTATAAACCTTTGCAAGACTATTTATCTCTATTCTAGATTTTCTGCCTCCAAATTCAGGCTCGGTTACAGTAATGAGGTAGGGTAGTCTGGTGGCTTAGCATAGCTTATGACAGAATGAGGTCATATGCTCAGCCCTAAATATGAACAGAACTTCAGGCATTACAACAGTATTTTGCCTAGGGGATTTCATGTATCTTCAGCGCATCAGATACATCAATCACTTGTATATTCACTTGCTTTTCTCCTAACTCCTAATTCAAGGCAAAGTCAATGGAACGTGCAGCCTGGTTCATCTGAGGGATGTTGTATTGGCTTCAAACAGCTCTCAGAATAATAGAGAACAAACTGATGGTTATCAGAAGGGAGTTGGGTTGGGGAACGGGTTATACAGGTGATGGGGATTAAGAAATGCACTTGTGATGAGCATGAGGTGTTGCATGGAAGTGTTGAATCACTATATTGTACACCTGAAACTAATATTATACTGTATGTTAACTAACTGGAATTTAAATAAAAACTTAAAAAAAATAAAAATGTAAAAAAAAACCCCCCACACCTCAGGTCCTTGTTGCCACATTTGAATCAAAATTTTAGGAACAGAACAAACCCTGAATCAGTCTGAATGTGGCTTACTACTTTAATGGGAAATAACATAAACAGGTAGGCTAGAAGTTTCTAATTCAAAGCTTTTGATTAGTTGTTTCTTGGCTAGAAACAACTGGATTGATCTTTTGATTTCCAGTGAAGGATTTCTACTTTGTTATGGCTAAGCTACAACTAATACTAGAAATTTAGAATAGTCAAGGAGATCAAATTCAGCCTCTTTAGGCTATGGATATTCATTATTATTTTTATAATAACCACTACTAGTGCTCGCTTCAGCAGCACACATATATATAATAACCACTACTATATATTATTGAGAATCTATATTCTGGAATTAGTATACAGTTAAGGTTGAGAAACTTGGCTAAAGTTATAATGATAGGAATGGCAGGTAAGTTCAAATTTCTCTGACTCCAAAGCTATGTCCTTTCCAGTAAGCAGCACAATATGTATGTTATATATGATATAGCAGATACCACGTGTGTTGGCCTACATGTCTTCTGCAAAATAAATAAATCTAATACTAAATTAAAAGTTTAGATTAAAATGCTTGTAAAGTTTATCTATGTATTGATTCATTTACTGACTGGTTGGAACATAGTAATGAATTTCATTTGTCTCTATCTTCCCTAAGCTAGAAACTAAGATAGAACAAAAGCACCTGCTACATATATAGGTATAGTACATACACACAATTTTGGAGTCACCATACCACAGTAGAGCCCTCAAAGGCCTACATGCCTCTATATTACCACCGCCCCCCCCGCCCTGCATTTTATGAAGTGACTATGATAAAGTCAGGCAAAGAAGGACCTTTATTTGAATTTTTTTTTTCACAGTGCTTTTTTTTTTAATTTTTTTTATTCTTATGTTAATCCCCATACATTACATCATTAGTTTTAGATGAAGTGTTCCATGATTCATTGTTTGTGCAAAAATGTTTAGTGTCATGACTCCACTTTTCTTGGTATTAAAATATGTATTATATTTCTATATGGATAGTGTTAATGAATCAGTGACTTTTTCTTAGTGTTGTATGAACAAGAGTTAAATGATTATGAAACTTTATTTCTGTTCTTCTCTACCTTGAATTATAAACTCCCAGAGAGATCTAGGTTCTTCAGCACACTCTTTTTTTTTTAAAGCACATAATAGGAGGACAAATAATTTGGGATCAGTAGACCTTGAAGTCTGAAGATTTGGGTTCAGACATTAGCAGGGTAACCTTGAGCAAGTTATGAAATTTTTCCTTAGTCATAATTTCTCCATCTGTGTAAAAGGAGAACAACACTAACCCTACAGGGTTGCTATAGGATTGAATAAGAAAATATACATGAAAAATACTTTGTTTGCCTTAAAGTACTATACCAACATTGATTATAATTTTTAGCAAACAAGGCTTAATAAATTCAAAATGTGATAATTTGTTGATTCTATGAACTAAAAACTACTTTTGAAACCAGTTTTTCCTGGAACTTAAATGGTAAACTATATTTCTAATGTTTCATGCAAAGTATATTTCTTAGGTTCTTTTGAATTTCTTTGTTAAAACATTCTCTTCATAACTTAGCAACTTTGTCACTACATGGCTGTCCTTTAATTTAAACTGTGATTAGCTTTTTGCAATTCCTGTATTTCTTTTTTTCTTTTTATTAATGAAAACCAGGAAAAAGCATAGGCTTTACAACCAAATGTAACCAAGCTGAAACTGTAGCTCTACTTATTTAAATACTCTGAGCGTCAGTTTTCTCCTCAGAAAAAGGCCTATCACAGGGGTGTTCTATTACATAAAAAAAAGAAACTCCTGTTGGAGAAATTGTGGATTACAATTATTTTTAGATTCCTTGGTTACTGACTTTATTTGGGGTCTAGAACATTGGTAACTTATTCTTCTTAAAGCTGCAAATCTGGTCACAACCATTTTGTAATGAATGCCTAATTTAAGGAAGCTATACAACCTGTGTTTGATTTTGATTTGGTCCCTCTGAACAGCATCAAATATTCAATGGCTCTGCATAAAACAGATTATAAGACCTTCCTTTCTGCTCACTATTTCTAAGAGAACATTGCCCCTTTGAGGCAATTCTTTGGTGGAGTTTCCATGATCATCAGTAGTTTGTGATCATAGATAATATTTAATTGTATTATGAAGAATTTGGAGAATTTTTACAAAACCACTCTACTTTTTGGCTCTTAAGTTTCCCTGAGTTCTCTGTTGGTCCCCCCATATTTTTGTATAGGTCTGATAAAAGTATTCAGGCTTAAAGTAGAAAAATAACACTATCAAAATTATATGGAACATTTCAAAATCACAGATGCCTTAGGAATTCCTGCTTTATATCTTATGAAGTCAGTGTCTATGGTTTTAATTGTTTCAGGGAAATTTGTCTTCATTCACTGTGGGGGACCTATATTTTCAGCCCAAATAAGAATAAAGCTTTTGAGACAAATTGTGTAGTCCAGAAAATTGTAGAGATACGAAAAACTTGTTTGTTCAAAAAAGAGATTTTCACTTTCACCTGGCAAGTGATGTACTTGATTCCGCTGTCTCACAGATGGTATTTCATTCCTATGAAAGCCTGGCGCTGCCTCAGGAGTTCTGGTAGCAAGTCCTAAAGGAAGGGAATGAAAGACTATTGGCATTTAATTTCTTAGCCCAAGTGAACCCAGAAGTTTTATCTTAGAGGTGAATTTCATGATAATGATTTGAAAGGGTCTCTATTTTGTGCCTTTATCTGAGTATTTAGTACTGCCCCAACAGAGGACTATCTTGAAGAAGATTTCTTCTTTGGAAGATGTAGTGGGGTTCTAGAAATGTAGAACCACACAGAAGGAGCATTCAAGGTAGGCTGTAAGACGTAGTTCTAACCCAGGTTTGAGAAGAACAGAGCTGGTTACTTCTTTGTTAGTATTTTGTGATGTTAGTTTCTATGATATTTTAATAAAGATACCTTTATTAAAGATACCTAAATAAACATATTTTAATAGAGATACATATTTCTATCACCCTAGTCTTAACTTGAACTTGATAGCATAGTTAGTCTATTGTATATTGTGGACAGTGAGAATCACAAGGACTGACGGCTGCATAGGTAGCAGCAGTACTAGAACCTGATGCTAGACTAGGAAAAGATGTTCATCTGAGCAAATGATTTTTAAAGGCACACCTTCAAGGAGGAAAAATTAGAAAAATGCACATCTTGTGGACAGATATAAATCTACAGTTGAAGGCTAGGTTAGTTTTCAATTCCTTGTCCAAAGACAAAGGGCCTGTTTCCTTGAGGGATTGCAGTTCTGTTCCAGGTAAGTGGAGCTAGGGCTGAATGTTAGTTCCGGCTCATCCTCTTGGGAGGTATGTTTATGTAGTACACAAATTGCACAACCTTACCTGGTGAGTGAAAAAGGGTTACACAGCTTTAAGAAAAAACAACTATTTGTAAAATTATTAGTTTAATGTTGGTTTCTGCAGATAGACTCAGTTCCATTTGGCATGGAGTATGTTATTTTGTTCATTAGTTTATTCTCAGTAGGTAACATAATATCTACATAACTGCAGATACTGAAAATTACTTGTTGAATAGTTGGGTGAATAAATAAATAATATGAAATGTTTATATCATCCTGGGAGTTAAGAACATCAGCTTTCTGGTTGGCTCAATGGGATTCTTTTAGCTCCCAATTCCTATTCTGTTCTCTCTCATTATGCTCAAATAAATATTTAATAACCTTAAGCTTCACTATTTTTATTTGCAGTTTATTGGGCTAAAGGGAGTTTGAGATCCATGTAGTTATAAAATGATTATTGGTCTCTGGCTTGCCTAATTACCAACCATTTTTGCTCAGCTATTTGCATCAATGTTTTAATCAGATTTTAAAGGGGTGAAAAGATCACAAAATAGATACCAAGAGGGTAAGTATTGAAAAAAATATTGTAAGAATTTTCACAGAGGCATGATGCTCAAGTGGTCCAGAGACCAGAAGCATTAGCATCATGTAAGAACTTGCTAGAAATGCAAAATTTCAGGCCGCACTCTAGACTTGTTGAATTAGAATCTCTGGCACTCAGCATTCTGTGTTTTAACAAACTCTTCACATGATTTTGATACAGGCTTACATTTGAGAAAAACTGAATTAAGGAAAAAAATAGAGAATGCAAGAATAGTATTGGCTCTTAAATGCTATATATACATGAAAAAGGGGAGATATACCCAGGTACAAACATAATAATTGCCATTATTAATCAGACCTAATGACCTGTTTTTTACTGTATGAATCAAGGAGACATTAGGAGGCATGGCTGCTTTTCTTAATTTTTCAAAAGTTAGATGTATTACATATATTCTAGTTTCCCTTAATTACATATTATTGATTTTGTCATTCATAAGTTATCTAAACATTTTAATTGTTTATATCTTCATTCTTTTCTACCTTTAGAGATAATAGGCTTCATGAGTTTTGTAAACTACTGTTAAAGTCTTAAACACAATTTTTTCAGTTCCATTTTAGTTTTATGAGCTTGGGCTAAAAAGTCTGCATTTACCCTAACTATACCTTTCCTGATAATCTAGATACAGCAATTCCTACAATAGGAAGAGATTGCAGAATGTAGTTTTATGAATATGTGCTGCTGTGGTATTCTAGGAATAGCATCGGGCACATTCTCCATTGTGGGCTTAGAAAGACCCCTTAATACAACACAATTATTTTTTTTTCATGGGAAATGGATGGAATATGCAAATAATATTTCCAATTTTCTTAAGGTAAAATAAACTTTGTTGGCCCTATTCCCACAAGGATAAATTTCATATATTTTAACAAGTCTATAATGATTTAAAAGCCATAATAAGAGATCTCATTCCTCAATTATTAATATTTATATTCTAAGGTTGCTAGTAAAGAAGGGTGGGCCCTGCCTAGCAAACCAGTCTCAAATAGGGCACTGAAGTGATAAGTGAATCTTTTCACAGCGAATCATTTCTGTCCCAAGTAACCTAACAAAGTAGTTGAAACCTTCCTGCTTTGAAACAATCTACTTCATTGCATGTGAAGTCCTGATTCTGCCTTGCAGAAAGAAGTGTGGTGGTGGTATTTCCAGATTTGCTCTAACATTAATGAAAAAAGAAACATCAGAGGCAGAACGCTAAAAGCAAGATGTCTACTAAAAACCTACAATAATATTCATAATTAGTTATGATATTGACATATCCCTGAGATTGGGAAGAAGGAAGAGATGTTTGCTAATACTACATATATTCAACATTGTATTGGAGATCCTAGCTAAAGTCTTCCTTTAGAAATAAGAAGTAGAACTGTAATTTTAACACTGAGCATAATTGGATAGACAGTCCAAAAGAATTTACAAATTATTGGAAGTTATCAAGTTTTCTAGATATGTCAGTATACAAAATTAATTGTATTTTTATATTCCTGCCACAAACAACAAGAAAAAGAAATAAAAAATTACAGCATATAAAAACACCAAATGCCAAAGAATAAAGCCAATGAAAGGTGTGCAAGACCTCTAAAATGAAAACTAAACATTTTACTGAGGGAAAGATGTATGTGGAACAGGTAAAACTTTCATACACTGCTAATGGAAGTAAAATTGATACAACCATTTTGAAAAACTCAGTAGTATTTACTGAAGCTGAACATAGACATAACCCTAGGACCCCCTAAATTCACTCCAATGCGTGTGCAACAAAAATGAGTTTATATTTGCTTTGAAAATTTTACAAGATTGGTCAAAGCAGCTTTACTTAAAATAGCCCCAAACTGAAAACTACCTAAATGTGCAGCAACAATAAAATGCATAGATATATTCACATAAAGGAATATCACACAACAATACAAATCACTCAGCAATGTAACTGAATATCATATATATAATGTTGAACAAAATTAGCAAGAAACAAAAGAAGTAAATAATGCATGTTTTCACTGATATGAGAGTCTAAACCCCACAAAACGAATCTATGGTTCAAAGTCAAAACAGTAGGTACCTTTGTAGGAATAAGTGGCTGAGAGGCATGAGGGAAATTTCTGAGGTTCTAGAGACATTCCGTATTGTACCTCAGTTAAAAAAGCTTACTCCTAAAGAGGTAAGACCAAGGTATACAAAAAATTCCAAGTAAAAAAAGCAAGAGTTGTTGTATTAATAGTAAACAAAGTAGAATTCAGGTGGAAAAGACATAATATGAAATGAACAATGGTGATTAATGGTACAAGATGCACTTTTTGTGGATATATTTTAAAATATCTACACATGAATATTCTTAACACAACAGATATAAGGAAAAACAGAAACACATTATTAGTACAGTATTTTAATTCTCCTTTTCTCCATCCTTGAGTCAAGTAATCAAAATATAAGGACAAGAAAGACTTAAATAATATGAAGGCAACACTTATAACTACTTAATGCTACAAGTTAACATTAACTCAGGTAAAACTGTCTACCATATGGAAAACACTGTTAATGCGATCACAACTTATCAAAACCTATGACACATATAATGCACATATAATGGGAAATTTAATCTTATTATATAGATATAAAGAAATAATATCAATGTAAGAAATAAGTGAATTAAGCATCTACCACACACACACACAAAAAGGAAAAGTGAAAAATAAAGGGACGCAGAGGAGGGAACTAACAGTTAAAAGCAGAAGTTAAAACCCCCCAAACCCAGTAAAACTTGGGTTCAGGTTTAAAAAAAAAAAAACAGAAAAATAGATTGACTATTAACAGCCTAAAAGAAAGAACCACAGTCTTTGCATATGTTACACTGAACATTGTTAGAAAATTTCCATAATGAAAACTTTTCTTTTTTTTAATGAAACGTTTTCTTTACAGATAATATGAACATACAAAATAAGTAATTATAAAGGTTAAATGACTTAATGGGAGAATTCTACCAAAACTTTAAAAAGTAGTTAACTCCAATAGTATTTAAATTATTGGGCATAAAGAAAAACCTTAAAAGAAATATCTGAATGCAGAAAGCTGTTGTAAGGCAAGAGATACCACAAGCAAAATTAAGAAAAAATATTTGGATCTCATGTCATAAAAGGGTGATCTTAATTTGTAAAGAGGCAATAAAAATTGATATGAAAGGAACAAACAACCCTATAGAAAATGGGTAAATTGTATGAATAGATGATTTACAGAAAAAAAAATAAAGAGTTCTTAAACAATTGAAAAGGTATTAAACAATGTGAGAGATAAGTTGAAATTACATTGACATATCCTTTTTTCCCAACAGACTTATAAAATTAAAAAAATGATAACCAATAAACATTGGTTTATTGATGTTATTGATAGAAGGAGAGAAAATAGGGAGAATTTATAAAGATTAGACAGGCATATACTCTGACTCAGCAGCTCCAATTTTAGGAATTTATCTTATAGGTATACCTGTACACATTTAAAATGAGGAATGTACCAAGGTTAGTCACTGCAGCATTGTTTGACATGACAGAAGTTTGATAGCAAACTAAGTGTCCTTTAATTGGTGAAAGGACTATATAAATTAATAGTACATACATGCAATTAAATATCATACAACTGTAATGATTATGTAATCAAATGGAAAGACAAGATACACAGTAAACTGAAACAAGCAAAGTAGAGTGAAATGCATATACTACTTGCGTATAAAACAGGAAGCAAAAAAGAATGTATGTCTTTTTGGTTTGTTTACAAACACAAACTGAAAAGATAAATAAGAAAGTAACTATTTTTCAAAGGGATGGAAACAATGTATGGGGAAGGATGGGAGGGAGAATTTAAATTCCATTTCTTTTTGACATTTGAACCCTATATTACTATTAAAATTCAGATTATGGATGAGAATTTAAAGTGAAGTTACTTAAATTGATATAGAATATTTAATTGAATTTTATATTGAAGATTTCTGACATAAAAATATCAAAGTAATATTTAAGGAGATTAATTTTGCAACATGATTTGCAAAATGAATTGTAAGAGTGAGAGATGGAGAGCAGAGACACCTGTTAGAACATTTTGTGATACTTTAAATGTGGAATAATAAATGCCTAAATTAGGATGATGCCAATAGAAATGCAAAAGAAAGGGTAATGTATGAGATCATGTTTAAAATAAAAGCAGTAAAATAAGGATTAAATAGATATGATTAAACAAAAATTTACACAGACACAACTAGATTCTACTTAGCCTACATTCCTGAAGAATAAGGATAAACAACTAACAACTCTTAAGACAGCAAACTGAAGAAATGTCACAGTTCTAAATGAATTTCTAAAAGTCAAAATTAATTCCTTTATAAGGTATTAAATGTTTATACATTTGTGTTAAGTTAAAATAAAAAATTAAAACAATTTTTGATACTCTATGTAAACATACCTATAGTTCAGTATCAAAGATATACCTAATATTTTTGGTGCTTAAAAATGTACATATTATTATATATGCATTGGAGAAAAATCAGATAAATAAATAAAATAAGCTAACCATTCATAATCCCACCACCCAACAATTTCTACTACTAACATTTTTTTTTGCATACCTTAAGGACTTATTCCTAGGAATCTTTATACTCTTTTTGTATATTTTAGTGGGCTCATGCTTTATCTTGATGCTTTAGTTCCAGCATATTATCATTTTTTCTTTTTTTATCAGTGAATATACATGTTTCCAAACTGTGGTCCAGAGGTATGAACCAACTAAGGTCCAACGGTATCATATTCTCTGCACCTACAGTATATATTTCTCACTAATTCAACTCTAGCTATAAGAAGACAGAATTTCTGTATAACATTACCAATTTTTATTTAGCATTATTTACCTCTGGTAAAAAACCTTCCTTTAAAATGTCTTTAAAAGTACTACACTGAGGGTTGTTGGAGTGGAGGGGGGTGGGAGGGATGGGGTGGCTGGATGATGGACATTGGGGAGGGTATGTGCTATGGTGAGCGCTGTGAATTGTGTAAGACTGATGAATCACAGACCTGTACCCCTGAAACAAATAATATGTTATATGTTAATTAAAAAAAAAAAAGTGCTACACTCATACCTCTGGTCTTAATTTTTTGGGAGGCCAAAAATATTTTTAAAGACATTTATTTCTAATTGATTTTGGAGTCAAATTTGTTTATGATTAAATTTCGGAAACTATATTACAATTACTAAAGTTATGAATTTCACATTGTAAGAATTATGAAAATAAAGCAGTAGATTACTGCAGTGAATTACCGGAAAACTGAAAGGTACCATTCATGTTTACCTGAAGTGGGAGACTTGCAGCGCTCGAGTTCCAGGGGAACTGGACTGTCATTTAGCTCAGTTAAACCTGAAAATGAAATGATAATAAGTGAGATAAATTTTGCTAACACTTTGTAGATAATTCTTATTTATTCCTGAAAATTTGAAAAGGTTTTTCTTTCCCCTGTGAAAACTACTTTTGTAGTCTCATGTTATGACAATGGTTCTGATAATTTGTTTCAACAAGTGATACCGGAAACAATAAGGAGCAATAACTAATAGATATGCAAAGAGTAACTGAACATAATGGTAGAAAAATATAAAATCTTTTTTATTTTTTCATATGAAATAGCTACTTTATTTTTTTTGTTATGTTAATCACCATACATTACATCATTAATTTTTGATGTAGTGTTCCATGATTCATTGTTTGCGTATAACACCCAGTGCTCCATGCAGAACGTGCCCTCTTTAATACCCATCACCA